GCCACCTTTCTGGGTATGCCGACCAGCAATTTTGCTTGACCCTTTTGACCCCTGGTCGGCCGACGAAGGGGAGTGGTCGGCCGCCCACCTCAGCTGGTTGGCCAGCTTTCTACTTTTTGCTCTTCTCAAGTGCAACACAGTTGTGCCAGCTGTTAAGCACTTGACCCACTGTCCGAGATTTTGAGTCTTTTGTTGACCTTTTTAAGTTGGTTTTGACCCTCTTGCTTAGCTTCTTAGGGAAGCTTGACTCTTTTGTCAAGCTTCTTGAGGAAGATTGACCCTTTTTGGTCTAGCTTCCTCAAGAAGCTTGACCCTTTTGGGTTTAGCTTCTTTGAGAAGCTTTGAACCCCTCTTGAGGCTTCTCCAAGAAGCCTATCCCTTCTCCTCTATATAACCAACCCTCCATTCCATTTTGCAAGGGTTAGAAAAAAGTTTGGCCAAGGCACATGCACTCCACCCTCCATAGCCTTCTTCTCCAAAGCTCCAAACCCTAATTTTCTTGGCCATTTACACTACACCTCTAAGCCTAACACCTCCACCATCCATTCCAGCACCTTGGAACTCATTTTCAGAGGTTCAAAGCTCACTTTCTTGGTCCAAGGTTGGCTGCATTGCTGTGCTACAAGGGTAAGTCCTCATTTCCCCCATTTTCGCATTATTTTGCTCTATACCTTAGCTCTATTTGTAATCATTATTGAGCCTTGGTGTAAACTGAAAATAGGCTTATTTTAAGCTCCTCTTCATGTTTGTTTAAGAGTACTTTTTTGTTTGAGGTCTCCTACCCCCTTGTATGCTTTATCTCTCTTTTAGGGCTTATTTTGCATGATATATTAGCCTTATTTGTGAGCATTTTTGGACCTCGACCTAAACTGAAAAAAGTTTTGTTTTGACCTCCTCTTTAAGTTTGATTAGGTCAATTTTCTGTTTGGAGTCATTTTCTTCCTTGCATGCTTCATTTCCCCATGTTTTGAGCCATGCATATGAGCATTTGCATTGGCCTTGTTTTCACCCCTTAGCCACTGAAATCCAGTGGATTTTCAGTGGCCTTGATGTGTCTTTGAGCTCCAAAATCATAGAGGGGTGACCCTCTCACCTCTCATTCTCTTTACTAGCATTGTTGGCCTTCCAAAGGGACTCTATTTTGCATGCATTGAAGTCATGTTTCAGGCCTCATTTTGCGAGTTTTATGGTCTGCATAAGCTCTGTCCGTAGTCCATTTTTCCATACTTTATGTCTATGATGCATGTGTAGAATAATCCCACTCAAGGCCTTTCAAAGGGTCTTTCATTTGCATGCTTCCTAGGTTAATTTCAGGGCATTTTTGGTGAGTTTTAGGGCTATCATAACTCATTTCCAAAGGTGGTTTTGCCATGTTACATGTCTATCTTGTATGTGCTTAATAACCCCTTGTAAGGCCCTCCAAAGAAGCCCCTCATTTTTGCATGCATTGGCTGCATTTCAGTGATTATTCAGGCATATTTTGGCATGTTTTATTCACTGTTTTTGGCTGGTTTGATGAGTTCTCATTTGCTTCATATACATGCCATGTAAACCATGTTTGCTAGCCAATGTTGCATGCTATTTTAGCCCATCATGTTAGCATCTTTTGGCCATGCTCTAAACTAGAAATGTGCATGTTTTGGGACTGCCTTGGCTCTGTTTTTTGACTTCATGATCAAATAATGCTTTCTTTGTATACTTGTGGTTCAATACATGTGCCTAGTTTTGAGTTTCGGGGCTTATTCCATGCATCGGGTGCCATATTTCCATGTTTTGGGACCATTTAGCATCATGTTTTAGTGCTGGAAATTACATGTTCATAGTCCACCTTTCATCCCTTGCCATGCTTTGGTAGAGTGGCATTTGATGCCTTAGGTTCGGTCCTCGGTATGCGTGTACGTGTGCACGTATTTCGGTCGTCTTATTTTCATCTAATGGCCACTGATGTGAGTGTGGCTGAGGTCCATTCATGTTGGTGTAAGTCCATCGTGCATTGTGTATGTCATTTCGGTCCATAGCATTGCGTATGCTAGATTGCATGTTAGAGCATCGTGTATGCCATGTCACATTAAGCATTGTGTATGCCATTTCATAGCATTGCGTATGCTAGGTTGTATGTTAATCGCATTGTGTATGCCATCTCATTTGCATCATGTTTGGGATAGGAGTTAGTCCAAGCACGGGAAATGAGGTACGTTTCGTACTTCGAGTGACAGAACGTGTCTCAATTCCCTGTCGCCGACACTCCGGATTACCTATGATGGAGTTTAGGTCTTGTTGTGTTTCCATGTGCATTCATTTCATATTGAGTCGTGCAATTCGACTCCTCGGCCATCATGCATCGATATACATGATTGGTGGCACGGGGATCGAGGACTACACTCCCTGAAGGGTAGTCATGCATACATATGGGAAAATACTTTGCCATGCCCCTTTGTTGCTCTCTGTTGCAGTAAATCAGAAATCAGCGGCCTTCTGGAGCTTTGCACAATATTCCGAGAAAAATTGCAAACAGAGGCAAACCGGGGCATCGCAATGGATTTCCGCGCAAGGCAACTCAAGCATACATCATTCATCATTCGGAATAAGAGCTGAGGCAGTCCATGGATTTGCATGCTAATTTACCTGTTTTCCTAGAGTAATTTGTTAATTAATTAGGATTTTGTATTTATTCGGACTGTACTATTTATTCGGACTGTATATTATTTATTCGGACCCTCCGAGCGAGGGCACAATTGTAATAAGTGTGCGTGCGTGCGTGTGATGTATGTCTTCCAACCCCACGTCTTTCTCCATTTTATTTACCAGCTTATGATGGTTAGATTAGGGCATATTTCAATTAGCATACAGTATGATAGCATGTTTGCATTCATTCATCTGTCTTGCATAACACCGGGCTCGGCGCATCATACTAACTGCACTTGTATTTCAATTCCGAGTTGAATACTTGTTAGTTATAGCATTTCACATGCTATCTTTAGAATAGCTGAGCCTATCTTAGTTGCATTTTGCATGTGTTGCATTAGGCATTTCTGTATAGTTAGGATCATGCATAGATTTCTAACATAACTTCTGTTTTGGCTTGGAGTACTCAGTAAGTATTTATGCTTTAGCATCCTTGAATGTGTGTGAGTGACTGCCATGATAGCATGCTTACCATGAGGCTATGTGCTTATATGATATAACTGCCTGAATGCCTGTGGGTGAAGGTTGGGTTATTTGAATTGGAACGATTCGTTAATTGTGAGTTTTAAGCCCACTAGATAGTGGCAAAATCATGTTTTCTAAGCCCATCCGAGGGTGGCAAATCCACGTCTTAGCCTACATACGAGTAGCACCACCAAACCATTTTCAAATAAACAAACATGAATGTTTTGTTCCAATTCAGGCGACCCAGTCTATACTTGTATGATGTGCGCATCACATAATAAATCTAGGCTAATAACCAGAATAAGAATGCATAATATTTTTAAAACTAGATATCATGGTTAGTAGAGGCCGATCTTTGATCGGGCGAGCGGGAGTGCTCACGAAGTGACCTTCCCCAATCATGTTTTGTTCCAATTCAGGCGACCCAGTCTATACTTGTATGCTGTGCGCATCACATAATAAATCTAGGCTAATAACCAGAATAAGAATGCATAATATTTTTAAAACTAAATATCATGGTTAGTAGAGGCCAATCTTTGATCGGGCGAGCGGGAGTGCTCACGAAGTGACCTTCCCCAATCATACCCAAGTTCCCGAGCCGAGGCAACTTTGGTGATGACGGACACGTGGCCTTAGGCAACGAGTCAGGGTTTCCTAAATTTCCCCAAAATAAATATTTAGGTGGCGACTCTGTATCTGGCAAAGCAGTCCATGTTTGGCACTTCTTTCAAAAAAATCTGTTTTTAAAAACGATTTGCCGGATTTGGACTCTTTGATGATTCATCGGTCTTGCATTGTACTCCGCGAGATTAGATACAGGACCGTGACATTGAGTCCTGAACTGTAGTGAGGCCCAAGGGGGCGTCTACACAACACAAAGAGGCAAATGATTAAGGCTTGAGCAAAAGATAGGATAGTGGCAGGGGGTCATTGGTTCAGTGATTAAAACTTATCCTATCAACCCTCAAGTTGGGATTCGAACTAGAGAGCAGTAACTTTGTGCAAAATAGTGTTAAAGGTTAGGTATATATCCAATCTACCCCTCCCAGAGCCCCATCCAATAGGAACTAAATTGGGTACTAAAAGATGGGAACTATTTTCAAAATTTTGGAGACTTATGCATACTGTAAATCCCTAGCCTGTTCCCAAGGGACATTGGCGACCACTTGGGAAAGCAATGTTAGTGACCACCCTTAAGCAAGGGAATTAACCATGGTAAGTGTTAAGAAAGAAAAAACAAAAGAAGTTTATGTATTGAAACACCGCCTACAAAGGCCAGAGAGAAGTGAAGGGACTAATAACAAGAACCTACCAGTTAGTTAGGTCAAACCACCCATCCACCTACACACACATGCGCACACGCACACACACATAAAAAAAAGGTGCACATTGTTTTGCATCATTATTAAATAATATAAAAGAAAATGACAGAATGGACAAAAAGGAAGAAACCATTCTTGATGGGCACAGAGCTCCCAATCCAAAAAACTTGAATAAAACATTAAAAGAACAAGCAATTGCTCTAACAAATAAAAATTGAAGATGCAAACAAGACACCAAATTTACATTATAAACCTACATGAGACCAGTTTATAAAAATGTATCTCAAACAATCTAGAAAATATATCTTTAATAAAATTTTCATCAAAGAAATCCATATTTACTAGTGTTCTTACTACACAACTTAGGTCATCATATAGAGTAAGATTTTTTCTTTTGTAACTAATCATATAGAATCAGATAAACACCTTATAAATTACCATGCATAAAACTATGTATATAGAATTAAATCAATTCAGAAAGCACAAGAATGCAACAAACTGTTTGCATTGCAAGCATATTAGTAACACCTTTTGTAATATAATATAAAAATACAATATATATCTAAAAAATCTTCGCATTGCAAGCATATCAATAACATTTTTTGTGTATTCCCAAAAAATATAAATAACACCTTTTGTAATACAATATAAAAAAAATAAGATATATCTAAAAAAGGTTCCTATGTTACACATCAACATACATGAATAATATATCCTCACGATTTTAAAAATAGGAAGGTTCAACCCAATCACCTTAGAGGCGAAGAAAGGTAACTCTGTGATGGTTGACTGCACAAAAGAGCATTCAATGACATTTGGAACTCCATTAAGCCCCTTCAAGCAGGCATCAGCAAAGATTGCCCCAGCATATCTGTGAAAGACATGGCATCTTAGTCTATGAGCAAATGCAATTGATATTGTCAACAACTTCATGAGAGAGATACCACAACACACACACACACACACACAGAGCACAAATGTGAAAAAAGAATAGTCCAACTCAAGAACAATGCTTAGTAACAAGAACACATAGCAGGGTAACACAAACAAACTATTTTTTTTATTATTATTATTTATATATATATATGGACACAAACAATTTAATTTCATATTATGCAGAAAGGTTTTAATATGGGTAAGACAATAGCATCAACAGCCAAATCCAAGTATCCTCCATGTAAGTTTTAGCCTCCAAAGTTGTAGACACCCTTTGACTTTATTTACTTTCCATACAAGTTTGCAAAACTAATAATTATTCAATTTGCAACAATTTAAGCTACAGCAAACATGTCATAAGTCACCCAACTTCATAAAGCATCACTCCATGTATCCATGACATGAGTAGTTTATTTCTTTAATATCCATAAACATCCAAATACTTCAAAATTAAAACAAAGATATATACACCAAGTAGACCTGAATAAAAGAAATATTAAAATCCATTTAGAAAGAATGGAGCTTTATCTAAACTTACGCCATTGATAATGTTGCAGATCCCTTTCCAGCTTTTGCTTCCACAACTTCAGTTCCTCCATCTTGTGTTCGCTTAGTAAGAGCCTTAATATCTTCATCTGACAAATTGGCTTTTGGTGTCGCCTACGAATATTATTCCCCAAAACAAAGAAATAAATTCAAAATTCTAAAACTATAAGCCAGAAAGTTGACAAAAGAAACCAATATCATCTCATTCAGATCACAATCAGAAGTCAACTAAAAGAAACAAAATGAAAAAACATACATGTGAGAAGAGAGGAAGAATGGTTATGCCAGCATGACCACCAACCACCGGGACATTAACATTTGTAGTTTGTAGAAGCAAAAAGAAGATCATTTTAAGTCAATGGCATACATTCCTACAAGGTGACTCATCTTCTTTACTGTATCCATCAATTTGGTTCCCAAGAAAAACAATTAATGGAAAAAAGGTAAAATTTTAAATCTTATTTATACAATTGTAGTTTTCAGGGGTAAAAGGCGAGAGCTTAACAGAGCCAAATAGCTATGTTGGGCCAAGTTCAGAGAAGACTTGCTTCCGTTCTTTGCATCCCTAATAGTGAAAATATATAAATTCTCAATCCAGTGTATTTTTGGGGGGGGGGGTTCGGGGGAAGATGAGGCCAGAGAATAAGTGTGCTCAAACTGTCGGATGAAAATGTTTTATTAAAGTGAATGTAGTTAATTAAGTAAATTGTTGAAAATTTGGTGTTCAACACAGAAGCATGATTTCTCAAAAAGTGGCATCCTAAAATTGCAAGACAAATAAATAGATATGAAACTTCATATCTCAAAGAAGTGTACAAATGATTATCAACCAAGTTATCATAAAATTGTGAAGGGAGCATGATAGTAGGTTTTCTGATACCATCTTTTGATATCCATCTGTATCCCAAAAAATAGCATTCATATTATTATTTGTATTTCTAGATTTTCAAGGCAACCAAACAAAGTTCAAATAGAGGAAGAACTAAAAGAACCTCAGAAATGAATATACCCGCCACCGGGACCTTCGCCTTCCCAGCATAAAAGGTCTTTGCCCTAACAACATCAAGCATAGTCACACCAAATAGCTTCTTCTCATCATAAGTCCCAGCCTTCTTAAATACCTCGGTTGCAATCGGAACTGTCGAATTCACCGGATTGCTTATCATATTCACCAGAGCCTAATTCCATTCAAAAAGGCATAAAGGGTTAAAAATTAAATTATACCCAACATGACAGTTAGTACATATACATAAATTTATTGAGTCATGTGTGCAGGGACGGAGTAAGTGAAGAACTAGGAGGAACACGTGCCCCTCCTCAAATTTTGTGAAATTACAATTTTAGCTTTTAAATTTTATTCTTCTAAATTATATATAAACCCCTTAAAATGATTCTTGTTCTTCTTCCAACAAAATCAACCCACCATAATCAGAACATTGACAAAGATTGACTCCTTATTACTTGAGAGTTCTGTAGATTTTTTAGGAGAAATTACAATTTACTGGAGTTTTCACAAAATAAATACATATTCATAAAAAAGTTCAAAACTTTAATTATTAAAATTTATATAGTCTACCACTGATTTGAATTTTTTTTTTTTTTTAGAAACTTCAACTGAATTGAAATTTTCCCTTAAAGATGGTTTTAAGTTTAGAAATATTGATTTTTGTTTTTCACCTCATGATGAATATCTACCTCCATAACAATATTTCACATAGAAGCGTCAATTAGTTGATATGTACATAAACAAGAAAGAAAGAGAGAGTGACTCACATTATGGCAGTACTTGGCGATGGTAGAGCAGAGAGACTTGATGATGCCAGCATTGGTGTTGAAGAGATCATCACGACTCATTCCAGGCTTTCTCGGAACACCAACCAGTATGATCACCAAATCGGCTCCACGCAAGGCCATCCCTAGCTGTTCGTCTCGCATAAACCCCGCAACCTATCAAAAAAACCATAACAAAACCCTAACAATTCACACACACAAACATTAATACAAAACCCTAACAATTCACACGCACAAACATTAATACAAAACCCTAACAATTCACCCACTCATACATGAATACAAAACCCTAACAATTCACACACACATATATGAATACAAAACCCTAACAATTCACACACTTACACATGAATACAAAACCCTAACAATTCACACACATATATAAATAAGTAAATAAAGTAATGTATGTAAATTAGAGAGAGAATGAGAGGCGACTTGGGCGTGGGTGTTGATGTGGCAGACGTCGGCGGCGACGCCGGGGGTTCCGAAGATGTCGTAGAGAGAAAGGGAGGAGACGAGGGGGTTGAGCTTCATGAGGAGGGCGAGGGGTTAGCCAATGCCGGTGGCGGCGCCGAGGACAGCGACCTTGCGATCGGGGTTGGAGTCGGAGGAGAAGGATCGGCGAAGGAGGTGGGTTGAAGATGAAGATGAAGAAGAAGAAGCTCTCCTGAGAGTTGTTACTGTGGATCTCAACATTGATGCCTTCATTTTCACTGGTAGAGAGAGAGAAGAGTGAGAGGAAACACAAGCAGCGAGAAATGAACAGTGAAAATGGCTTTCCACGAATCCTAACCCTTTACATTCATACACTAGGCTCCGTTTGGAAAGATGGTTTATGGGCTTTTTTTTTGTGTGGTTATTTTAACCATAAAAGGTAAAATAGATTATTTTAGTCATAATAAACAAAGTATCACATCTAATCCATAATTATTGCACTCTTCTTTTACAAAAAAATTCAAAAAAACCAAAAAGTCTTTCTTAAACCAAGTTTTTTAGCCTAGGCTAAAATAGCTAAAAAAGTCAAAAAGTCAAAAAACTAATCTACTTCCCAAACGAAGCTATAAAATACGAACTCAAACTCTAAATTCAAACTCACATTTTTAGTTCATTTGATTAAAATATATATTTTTTTTAAATTTTAAAATTACATCACATCTCTTTAAATTTTTTAATTATATGACAAATAATTCAATTTATTCATAAATCATTAAATTAATTATGTGGTAATATGGTTTGGAAATACTCTTGGATCTTGGAGGACGTTCCTGATCCACTGATTGCCACCTGAAAAGGGATTAACACTCCGGTCAGAGGTTTCGGAATTAGCACTCCGACGGACAAGTCAGTATATGTCTCATGTTTGCTTATGTCTCAAGTTTCTTGGAGTTATCTCTCACATACCTTTCTTTTACTGTTGTTCTTCTTATATTCACTTTTGGGCCTTAGGGTCGAGCCCACTCTTAATCCATCATGTAATTGTTCACTCGGTCCCCTTTTTGTCGCATGCCAATTCCCATTCAGCTCCTCGCTTAACTAGTTCTACGGCTGATTAGAATATTCGGCATCTGGAACGTACAAGACGAAGCCGAATATAATATATATATATATATCCTGGTTTCCGATGTGTGTACTCGGCCTATTTACATCCCCTGACATTCGGCTCCTACAATTGCCCTCCAAACACCCCACTAACACCAGTTAGTCGGCGTGTTTGGTTTCGAACTTGAAAAGTCAAAACAAAAATTCGGCGGTTAACCTCATTCCAACACGAGTGTTAGAACGCACACGCTTTTTGGTCATCATTACAATTTCCCGCCCCTTCATACGCTTTCTTCATTTAATGTGATTTAAAACTTTGTCCCTTCGAATGTATGTTTTTGAATACTCAAAATTTCTAGTTCGCCTTCTAGCATAACACCTTCATTTCGTGACCTCTGCAACTTCCTCCCCATTTGTCATTGTCTTCTCCATTTCTTGTAAGTTCTCTTTTTCCCCATTTTGAATCCCATTTCCTTGCTTGTTTTTAGTTTAGCATACTCCCTAAACTGGCTAAGAAGACCAAACACTTGAAAGCCCTCCTTTCTGTAGATCGAGTCACTGGTTTTCGACGCCATTTTGCCATTCCCAACGACATCCACCTGTCACTCGTGGCAGAGAGCACACTTGATATAGAGAGGACTGATGAGAGTACAATCATCTTTCCTCTCCTATTAATTGCTGAGGGCAAAGTCCGCTTCCCTTTTCACCCATTTCTTAGGGTCGTCCTTCGCCATTGCAGTCTAATCCCTTTCCAGTATAATGTAAATTTTTACCGAATCATAATGGGAATTGTATAGTTGAATCGACGTCTTAGGATCAATCTCGGTATCCTTGCTATTCGACATTGCTATGCCTTGGCCAAGTCTTTTGGCCAGCTGGAGCGCTACATTCTCAGGGCTAAGGACACCGACCATCATTTGGTGACTATGGCAAGCGAGTTGACGATGTCATAGTCGTTGTCCGAGGAAACTGGGAATTCGGAGAGGGCGAAAATCGTCTAGATCCCGTACCTAGACGAAAAGGCGAACCAAGTGACTGTATAATTTCATACATGCACTTGCTATATATTTACTCGGCTCTTATTTCATGAACTTACCGCCTTGTGTACGCAGGAAATGATTTGAAGAAAGTTCTTGTTTCGGCCGATGACGCCGTGCTTGTAGAAATCAAAACCGCACTCCAGTTCTTCGGCCATCCAAACCTCCAGAAGCAAGGGAAGGCGACTCATATACTTCTTAGATACAAACCGACTTACGCAACCTTTTCTGCTACGAACAACATTTCGATTCCGAGGGGCAAACAGCAGCTTACGGCTCTCATTTTCCCCAACTTCAAAAACCTCAGGCAGATTGGTTTGGAAGCTTCTGACTCGAAGCAGGCGGAAGAACAAGTAGCCGAGGAAGTCGCCGAACAACCTAATCAGTCCACTTTGGAAGCCAAAGTTGATGAGGCTTTGAACTAGGTTTTTGAGGAAGTCGGCCTTAATCAATCTGACCCTCCATCTACTTCAGGTCGTGGGGATGCCTCATTCGAAGACATTTTTATCGACTTAAGGGACCTTCCCGACGCGTATACTGAGAACATGGCTAGGGAGTCTCTAACGCACCTGGCCAGGAGAAAAAATGCCGAACGCATGGCCGTCCGGAGGAGGGCTGAGACTAACCGATCCGAACCTTCCCTGTTGCTGTGGCTAAGTCTTCTCCGCCGGATATCGAGACGGAGCAGGTCGAAACAGCTCAGGTTGAAACGGCTCAGACGGAGCAAATTGAACAGTTGGATCAGGAGGTCGAGCAGACAAGGGAAAAATGTCCCGCCGAGCCCGAAGCTGACCCTAAGGAAACACCTACCGATAAACGGCCGCGTTTGGAGGAGTCAGACTCAGTCGTGCCGTTCATCATCCAACCGAGGATAAAGAACGTGCTGATTGCGTTCGATGCGTTGGCTCTCAAAGATCCGACTGTGGCCTTGAGTATGGCTTCCTTAATTTCCCTGTCGGTTGACAGGGCGACTTTTCGTGCGGAGCCAGATCTGCTGTCAATAGCATTAGCCGCTCAATCGGCCATATTGGTACGTGACTTAACCTTATTTTCGGTCTTCCGCCTATACGCATATAAACATATACTATTAATTAAAAAATTCTAACTCCTTGTTTTTAAGATGGTGGGTAGGATAGCCGAGATCGGCCGCCGTCAACATGATGTTATTGAGCAGATTGGCTTTTTGAAAACCGAAATTGAAAACGAGAAGAGCAAGGCCATGGAGTCCTCTCAAAGAGTTGAGTCCAAGGTGGCGAAGGCAGCGGATGAGCGCGCAAGAGCTGATGCCGATGTAGAAAAGGTGAAGAGTTCTTACCAGCTCAGATTGGCCGCCGAGGAGAGGGCAAACGCGAGCAAAGACGCGCTCAAGTTAGCCAATGAGGTGATTGCCAAACTGAAAACCGACTTGGAAAAATCGAAGAAGGCGAAGGAAATAGCCGACTTCGAGATTTCCAAAGCGTTCCAAGCTGGGAAGGATGCCGCTTTGGAGAACTATGTAGAGGAAGTCCCCAAATTCAAGAATCGGGGCTTCAAACACAACTGGCTCAAGGCCTTCACTGCCACTAATGTGACATTGGTCGAGCCGATTCCATATAAGTAGGTGGACGTTGAGCCACTGGAGTCTGACCCCAAAGATTGACTAGGGTGACTTTGATTTTTGTTAGGCATCTTCAATGCATGGTTCTTGTAAATTTTTGTTAGTAGATTTCTGTTAATTTAAGGTAATTTTCATGTATAAAATGACTACTATCTGTACTCAATTTATTAATGAAAATTTCCTTTGTTTTTCACTATTATCTGTACTCAATTTTTTGTTATTAATGAATATTTTTGCTTTTCACTACTTTCGGTAAAATGACTATTGTTTGTTGCGCGTGCTAGTTATCGATCCAATAGGATGTAGGATCATGAGATGAGTAAATTAAACATCTCACTAAATAGCTGCCGATTAGATAACTACGTATCTTGGCAATTTAGCCGTCTTTCAATTTAGCGGAATAAATTCATGAATATGCCCTTGCCCTAGTTAATGAACTGAAACGCCGAATATCAGTGGCTCATGGAATAGCTGGGGCACGTGATCCTATCGGTGCAAGGCCTTGAGATTTGGCCGATTAGATTAGCGAATCCTTAGCCGCTAAGATTAACGAATCTGCCCTTGCCCCAGTTAAGGAATGAACTGGAATGCCGAATATCGGTGGTTCATGGAATGGGTGGGGCACATGATCCTATCGGTGCAAGGCCTTGAGATTTGGCCGATTAGATTAGCGAATCCTTAGCCGCTAAGATTAACAAATCTGCCCTTGCCCCAGTTAAGGAATGAACTGGAATACCGAATATCAGTGGTTCATGGAATGGCTGGGGCACATGAACCTATCGGCACAAGGCCTTGAAATTTAGCCGATTGGATTAGCAAATCCTTAGCCGCTAAGATTAACGAATCTGCCATTGTCCCAATTAATGAACTAGAACGCCAAATATCAGTGGTTCATGGAATGCGAGCATTGATGAGATCGCCTCAGGAGTGCGGCCCCCGTAATCAATAAATGGGGCGGGGGCTACGTGAGCGAGGGTGCCATGGTTGCGTTCAAATCCAACAAATTGGGAGAAGAAAAAAGAAGTGTGGACGACTACGGATAGCAAGAAGACTGTTTTTCAACAGCAGAGGGGAAAGTAGGACACTCGCAAAGCTGGACGCAGAGATGAACTGGGGTGGCAAGCCTATGCGCACGGTGAGTAGGACGTCGAGGAAG